TTTATTACCAATTCTGAATGTCATTTTACTGGCCCCGGCTTGTTTGATTTTATATCGTTCGCATTTTTCCATCCAATCGCTTATTTGGCTTGTTTTCTTCGTATCATTTATCTTGTCGATTTTCAACACTTATCAGAGGATGCTTCAGGTAAATAAGTACACAGCCGACTAACATAAATCAGCGAACCAATTAAATTTTTTCTTATATTTTTCATTTTTTAATTTACTAAATTTTTGAAAACTAAGAAAGGTTAATTATTGAGAAACAGGAATTTTACTTTTTTTGGAATTCACTGGTCTAGCGAGAGCACTTCTTGAATATTTTGATTTGGAGAAAAAGTTATTTCCGATATTTTTTTTTTGAAAAGCGGCTTCAAAAATTAATTTTATCCAAAAACGTAAAAGTGTTTTAGTGCTATGAATTTTTCGGCGAAAAATTAAAAATTTGTGATCGATTCCTGAAAGAAGAGTGGGATGGTATGGGGCAAGTGGATTTGGTAGCCGTAATGCCCCATCTTTTGTACTTCTGTCTTTATCGCTTCGGTTGGAAGTCACTTCGTGTCGTCTTCTTTCACAGCACGTATTTTGACAGTTTGTTCAACTACCGTTTTATTCTTGTGCCCTTTCGTGTCATTTGGTGCAGTTGACTTCCGAAACGACTATTTTTTTTTTGTTAATTTAAACCGGGGAAGTTTTTTTTTGCAGGAAAATATTGCGGCAAGAATGTCACGTGCTGAAAAATCGGTAAGGGAAGAATGTGGGCCGAAAAGTCTTTTTTCCGCTGCATTAGAATTGGCATCCTCATGGGTTTTTTTGAAATCAAAAAGCGAATGTCTGCAATATTATGAGGTATTGTTTTTTGTTTCGCAGTTCGCAATTACATCATAAACCCCGCAGTATTGTCTCAGAGCTCCTTCTGGTTGCTTGTTTTTTAGGTTGAAAGTTGGATTATTGAATTCTCAGAACCAGATTTTTCGTGGTACCCTGTGGAGATTTTTGGAAAATTTTATATTTTTGAATTTATTTTGATGAATTTGAGGTTATATTAGAATTTAGGCGTTACTTGAATTTTGTGTTTTCTTATCATTCACCAAACGAGATAATTACGCAGAGATTGCGGGCATTCGGTACAGATACGGAAGAAGCCATTTCTGATTTACAACTTTGAATTCTCAGTTTACAGTTTGAATTTCAGGATGTATATATTGATCCGGTATATCAAATTTCTCCGCTTAATGTA